TTCCCACATTGCTTACATATGTAGGGCTTCTCCCCAGTGTGGGACCGTTCATGTATTTGACAAGTACCATATGTGCTGAAAGCTTTCCCACATTCTTTACATATATAAGGTTTCTCCCCAGTGTGACTTCTTTCATGTACTTGACAAGTACCTTTGCTACTAAAAGCTTTCTCACAATGCTTACATACATAGGGTTTCTCCCCACTGTGAGTCCTTTCATGTCTTTGACAATTAGCCTGTGTGCTGAAAGCTTTCCCACACTGCTTACACACATAAGGTTTCTCCCCAGTGTGATTCCGTTCATGTGTTTGACAATTACTGTGTGTGTGGAAAGCTTTCCCACATTGCTTACATACATAGGGCTTCTCCCCAGTGTGAGTCCGTTCATGTCTTTGACAAACAGCATGTGTGCTAAAAGTTTTACCACATTGCTTACACACATAGGGTTTCTCACTACTGTGAATCCTTTCATGTGTTTGACAATTACTGGGTCTGCTGAAAGCTTTCCCACACTGCTTACATACATAGGGTTTCTCCCCAGTGTGAGTGCGTTCATGTGTTTGACAAACAGCATGTGTTCTGAAAGCTTTCCCACATTGCTTACATACATAGGGTTTCTCCCTACACTGAGTCCTTTTATGTATTTGAAAATAACTGTGTGTACTGAAAACTTTCCCACACTGCCTACATACATAAGGTTTCTCCTCAGTGTGAGTCTGTTCATGTGTTTTACAAACAGCATGAGTGCTGAAAGCTTTCCCACACTGTTTACATACATAGGGTTTCTCCCCAGTGTGAGTCCGTTCATGTCTTTGACAATTACTGGGTCTGCTGAAAGCTTTCCCACACTGCCTACATGCATAAGGTTTCTCCCCAGTGTGAGTCTGTTCATGTGTTTTACAAACAGCATGAGTACTGAAAGCTTTCCCACACTGTTTACATACATATGGTTTCTCCCCAGTGTGAATCTGCTCATGTGTTTGACAACGACTGTGTGTGAGAAAAGCTTTCCCACATTGCTTACATACATAGGGTTTCTCCCCAGTGTGGGTCTGTTCATGTCTTTGACAATTACTGAGTCTGCTGAAAGCTTTCCCACACTGCCTACATACATAAGGTTTCTCCCCAGTGTGAGTCCGTTCATGTGTTTGACAATGACTGTGTGTGTGAAAAGCTTTCCCACATTGCTTACACACATAGGGTTTCTGCCCAGTGTGAGTTCTTTCATGTATTCTCCAACTGTCTTGTCTGCTGAAAGCTTTCGCACACTGCTTACATACATAGGGTTTCTCCCCAGTGTGAATCCGTTCATGTCTTTGACAATGAGTGTGTGTGTGGAAAGCTTTGCCACATTGCTTACATACATAGGGTTTCTCCTCAATATGAGTTCTTTCATGATTACCAAATGAATTGTTGTTAGTGAAGGATTTTCCACAGTGTTTTCTTGCATAGACTTTTCCTCCAATAAGAGCTTTTTCCTGTGTCTGAATATTATGGTGAGAATTAAAGCCCAGTCCACACAATATACATGTGTATGTATTCACTGCATCAGATCCTTTCCCGATCTGACCATCACTGGCTGTAATGAATGATTTCACATCTTGCTTATAAACAAATGGCTTCTCTTCAATGGTACTTTCTTCAGTGCAATCAGAGTAGGACTTTCCACATGGCCTATGTTCATGGGGTTTCTCCCCAGGACTTGTCTTTGCAAGTTTCTGAGAGGACTGGAGCTTAGCACAGGTTTTCCCACGTGTGTTACAGTTAGACAACGTCTCTTCCAATCCCTGCTGCTCATGTGATTTGAGTCCAGCGTTAGCTGTGATGGGCCCATTTGCTGATGAATGACCAATCAGGGGCCTTCTAGAGGAAAGCCTTTCACCTGGATTTATATGAACAAGTTTCATGTGCACATTAGTATCTGGAGTCTGACGTGCTCGCTTCGGCAGCACATATGCTAAAATTGGAACAATATCTGGAGTCTGAACAACCATTTCTCCATCTTGGTACCATAATTTATACGGACAGGATTTCTCTCCCTCTTCACTTCTGTAAAAGGGAAAAGTAAGGAAACAACCAATCACATTTAAAAGTACCTTTGTAGTAATGATTTACAAAGAGATCTGCTTTGATGTCCCCTAAGAATTGTTTACTGTATACTCTGGATGATGGCTTGGAAAGTTTTTTACCACAACAGTAGGATTCATTTTGGCGTTTGGAATTGACATGTTTGCAGTACAGAACCATGTTCCATATACTGATACCCTTTGACACCTACTCCCCATGACTCCATGCCTTCCCCCTTCCACTGAGCCTCTTCATCCACTCAAAATGTTCTGCCTCTCTCTTTTCTACCATCCCTCCTTTGTTTGACTCCTTAATTCATGTTTTGGAATTCCCATGTAAAACACAACTTGTGATACTGAAATTTGTTTTTGACTTGTTTAACAGCTCAAGATCCATTCATATTTTGGTAAATGACATCACTTCATTCTTCTATGGATAAATACTACTCCATTATGTGTACACTGCACATGGTTTTCAATGCTGGAAATGAAAGACAATGTTTTGGCACTGTGATACATCCATGGGCTTATTTATTTTTATTTTGAAAAAGAATCTCATGAATCATTATGTTGCCTCGGCTGAGCATGAATGTATGCTTTTCCAGACTCAGCTTCCCAGAGGGCTGGGATTCCAAGCATGCCCCTTTATGCCCAGGCTATCCCATATTTCCTTAATAAACTCTTCATGTGAATGGATATTTAGGCTTTTTTTTCCGAGCTTAGCTTTTCTAAGTTGTCCTGTTACATATGGGTATTTATGCATCACTGTGGTATGATTACTTTCACTTTGTGGGGAACATATATAGTAAAAGTATAACTGGATAAGACGGAATTTCTATTTTCCCTTTTTTGTGCAATCCCGATGCACATTTCCTTAGATGTTATACCACACTGACAGTCACACCAATATTTTGAACAGACTGTGTGCTCTGAAGGACTGCTTAAAAATAACTACGATCAAAACAGTGGAATTCACTTGGATTTTGAATACATCCATGATAGCAATTTTTCAAATACTGAATCTATATTTCATAATTAACTATATAAACAATGACTTACATAATTTGATATGAAAGTGGTCTTTTGAAAACAAATGCATCTATAATTAGAACTTGGCTCTCGGAGTATACACAAAATGTGGTTTATATAACCCTGTACTGTAATTTCATTCAACATAACTATAATTTTGCCCATGGGACAAAATTTCTTGGTTCTTTTTTGCTTTTTGGGACAGGGTCTCACTCTTTACGTGAGGCTGGCCTGGAACTCACTATGTGGTCCATGCTGGCCTCAAACTTGTGAGGTCTTGAAATTTCCTGCCTCAGCTTTTCAAGTGCTCGGATTATAGGTGATTTCCACAATGTCTGGCTGCAGCATGCTCTCTCTTTTTTTTTTTTTTTGGTACCAGGGATTGAACTCTGGACCTTGTGCTTGCAAGACAGGTGCTGGCACCACTGAGCTAAATCCCCGGCTGGCTGTGTGCTCTTTTATGTTACATTAGAGATGTCACTTTGGCATAATATCAGCACCACCTACATTTCAGATATTGGAATATTTCAAATACTCAATTTTCAGATTAGAGATATTCAATGTGTATAATCCTTGGAGAAATTTTATGAAATGAAAAGATTTGGCCTTGCTTGTATATTTTGCTTGGTTTTAGTATTTCTGATTCTTTGATGAAAATTCTTTTCCTGAGTGCAAATTACCTTAGACTTTTTCTGCAAGTTTTGTACTCATCTTCAATTTGCTGGTCACCTGAGCTTCTTCCTAAAGTGCAGCAACAGAAATGTAATGAGGACTTACTGCATTATATGAAAATTGGTAGTTTCCAGTTAGAGTCACAGTAAAATGTGACCATGCCTGGAAGATGCATCACCATGCTTCCACCTTCCGATTAAGGAAACTGCACTGGTGAGCACCAACCAAGGCTCTCTGACTGCAGAGATGAGGAAATGGTATCTCCTTACCGATGGCAGCCAGGTTCCTAAGGGTTTCCCACATCACATCTCTGTAGAGCTTCTTTTGGGATGGATCCAGCAAAGCCCACTCCTTCTTGGTGAAGTTCACAGCCACATCCTCGAAGGTCACTGCCTCCTAAAGCATCAGACGTGTTTCCAGGAAGAAGCGTGAGATTCACAACATGAACCATCTCATCTCATACAAAGCTGATATGAGGCTGAGTTTTCCCCACATTTACTTCATGTCTCAGTCATCAAACACTTATCCTCCATCCACATGCATGCCTCACACAGGAATTTTGCTGTTACACTGGAATTCACTGCTAAAGCAACAGTGCAATGGGAACATTGCTTCTCCTGCTGGTTACACCCGGGTTTGCTTGTACACTGCCACTAAAGCATGGTTCACAGAAGGAGCCCACCAAGTCAGAATCCAAGTGAAGAAAGTAAGATAGATAAATGTCTGAAGAATTATTCTGCAAGATTATAGAAAATATCTTTTTTCCCCTCAACTTATCTAGGGAAGTTTTCCCTTGCTTCTCTTTCTCTATTCAGATAGCATTCTGAAACTTCAACCTGGTCTTATGGACAAACCTTTAATTGAACACTAAGCAAAATTTATGAATAATAATTTGGAATGCTAATGATAATTAAAATTTTTATTGCAGAATATCTAAGAACAGAGAAATTAGATTAAGGAAGCCATAGTATCCTATGGTCTATGACCTGAAAGGTAGCAGAAGAGAAAGAAATCAGGGGACAGATTTCATGAAAATACATATTAAATGTACTGATCATCAATGTTTTTCAAACTTAAAAGGGACTAATCATGAAGGGAAAAACTGAAGATAAAATTTGTTCACTTCCAAATCCACCTTCAATGAGACAGCTTCTTTAAGGTATAGAGAGTTTCAAAATCCACTATTTAGGGCACTATTTCATTAGTAGAGATAATGACAAATAGACTACAGAAAAGGAAGAGAATGTTCAATGGGCTCACATGTGACTAAAATAGGTCATAGGTACTACATAGGTTCTTCTCAGTGCTGGGACAAAAATACCAAACACCTAAAGGAGGGAAGGTTTACTTTCACTCAGTTTCAAGAGGTTTCAGTGCATAATGGGCTGGTTCCATGCCAGTGAGACATGGCAGAGGGACATTGCAGAGGAGAAACAGTCCATGGCAGGCAGAAGGCAGCAAAAGCAGCAAGAATAAAGCAGCAAGTGAGAACAGCAACTCTCTGTGCACCTTGTATTTTATCCAGTCTACCGGGGTAGCACTCACACACACCCTTACTTCTAGCTTCACACCATGAATCAATCCTAGTATCACACACTCTAGATCCAGTTGCCTCTGAAAAGCCCACTATGACTGCATGAGCCTTTGGGAGGAAAGGAAGAAGTTAAAGTATCATTATTTGTACATGACATGATACTCTACATAGAAGACCACTAAAACTCCCCCAATAAACTTGTAGCTTGATATAAAGCCAACACTCAAAAATCAATAGTGGGGCTGGGGATTTAGCTCAGTGGTTTCACCACCTGCCATGCAAGTGCAAGGACCCAAGTTAGATCCCTGGTACAAAACAAAAAAAAGGAAAAGAAAGAAAAAAATATCAATGAATAACAAATGCTGGAGTGGATCTGGGGAAAAAGGAACCTTTCTCCACCGTTGGTGGGTGTGTAGACTGGTGCAACCACTGTAGAAATCAGTGTGGAGATTTCTCAAAAATCTAAAACTAGAGGTTCCATTTGACCCAGCTATGCTTCCCAAAAGAATGAGAAGCATCATACCATGTGTACACTGATGTATATAGCAGTACAGTGTATAACAGCTAAATCTTGGAAACAGCCCAAATGCCCATCAACTCACGAGTGGAAAAAGAAAATGTGGTTTTTGATACAAGGAAGTATTACCCTGACATAAAGAAGGATGAGCTTGAGACATTGACAGTTAAGTGAATGGACCTTGAGACCATTCTCCTAAGTGAAATAAATTGGCCACACATGTTTCAAGACTGCAGTGTTTCTCTGGTGTGGGAAAGGGGAAATAAGAAAAAAATGTATAGCAGATAATTGGGAAATGGGAAGAAAATGTTCAAATGGGGAAAGGAACGTGGGAAGAGAGAGGGAGAAAGGAAAGAAGGGACAACAAAAAAAGTGAAAATACAAGAAAAAAATGGAAACGAAGCTTTTGTACAAAGGGAGGGGAATGGGGGGAAGTGGGGTAAAATTAAATAAAACATTGAAACATGAAAATAAGGGTCCGGGGATTTAGCTCAGTGGTTCTGCTGCCTGCCTTGCAAGCAGAAGGACTCGAGTTCGATTCCCACTACCAAAAAAAACCAACAAAAAACCCCCATAAAAATAGGGGCCTGGGATTCAAATCAGAAGCACCGTGCCTGCCTTGCAAGTGCAAGATCCTGTGTTGAATCCCCAGTACCCAAAAATAAAATAAAATACAAGATAATTCAGCAAGTGTGAGGCACAAAGAAAGAAAAAACCCTGTGAGACACAGCTCATCACTCTTCTAGGTATCTTTCTCAAAGAGCTAAATATATCATGCTACCACAACACATGCAAACCCATGTTATAGCAGCACACTCCATAACTGCCAAATCCTGGAAGCAGCCTGCATATCCATCAACAGGTGCACCATGAAGAAAATGTGGTACCTATACAGCATAGATTACTATTTGGGATAAAGAAGCAAATTTTTGAGACTTTTGTAAGAAAATGGGTACACCTGAAAAATAAAATACTGAATGAAATAAATCAGACACACAAGCTTAAATACCATAGAGTACCTCTCATTTGAGCAAGGCAAGGTACAAATAAAAAGTACAAGAAAGGATGGACAGAAAGAGGTAAGGGGATAGATCTGCAGACTGAAAGTGGTCCTGGATACTAAGGGTGGGGGGTGGTGAAATTAATAGAATAAAGATGTACCATATACAGGAAGCTAATAACCTCAATGAACGTAAATATCCTGTCATAAAAGTGAAATACGATTAACAGTATGAACAATAAAAATGCAGAAAGGGGAATGGTAGGTGGAAGAAGGGACAAAGTGATCACCAGCCAAGTTACATCCTAAACCCTCAACTCAATTTTTGCGAGGGTGGATATGCTCGTATTGAAACATGAAGCTTCACACACATGGATGCATGAACAGAAAGTCCTTCGTGCAGGGCCAGGGATGTACCTCAGTGGCGCCACGCCTGCCTCCCAAGCTCAAAGTCCTGAGTTTCATCCCTGGTACCCCAAAACAAAACAAAACAAAACAAAAGAACATGTTTCATGCAAAGTCCATTTCACTTCCTAAACACAACTGTTCAGATTCAGTAAATAAAAGATACAGGTTTAGTTTGGGTTACAGTACAAAGATCAAACTCACTAGAGCTCTGCTCACTCGGCTTGCATGAGTGTTTCCTCCTCATTCTATCAGCACAGTATGTGCAGCACAAAATCATTTCATTCATGCCAACCCATAGTTCAGACTTGAATCCATCCATGACTTCCCCACTTTTCTGGAAACAACTTGTTTCTTCAATGAGACACCTCCAGCCTACTATGTTTGTGATTTTCACTAAACTCAAATTTAATACCAGGTCACTCTACACACTTGTCACGTTCTTTCTAATTAAGAAAGAAGAGACAGTCAGCCAAAATCACATCATGACGGTTTCCTTCCATTAAAAGTGGAAGAAACATTCCTTGCTCTTAGCATGAAAGAATTCACATATTTGATTTCACACAAACATGGCTGTCACTAATCATTATCAGATGCTTTGTCATACCACAATCAAATGCCACTGAGAAGAAAATCAATCAAAATTTTAGAGTAGACAGTAAATCAGCAGTTTTTTGTTTCCAAGTAAAATAAAAACACATGTAAATAACGTCATCTCTAGTGACTGTTTCTTCATCTTAAACAATAAAACTTGCAATGTTCTTTAAAATGAAAAAAAATCACATCTTTATAGCTATGAAAACCATCCTAGCCATTAATCATGAGGCAAATGTTTTGTCATATCATAATAAAATGTCACTAAGTAGACTACAGTCAGGAAGACATGTGGTAACAACTTCGCTGAGGCTGTGAAGAAAACTGTTATTGAAATTACAAGATGCACACTCAGGTTGGACCACAGCCTGACACTTTCTACAATTATGACAAATACAGGTATTATTTCTCATTTGATTTCTGTTATAAAACATGATATTTCAAATTCAGTATATACTGAAGAGGTTTCCTGTGGTTCAGAGCTTTGGGCCACGGTGAGAAATTTCAACGTGGTAATGGCTTCCTGCTGACTGGGACCTGAGGTCACCACACAGCGCATCAATGGAGAGCACCTAAGCAGCAGCTCCGTGCTCTCCTCTCACTGATTCAGCTCCAGTATCAATCCTGGGGACTCCAACACCTTCCCTACTTCTAATTGGCTCCTAAGTACCCACTGTCCATATTTACTCATGTCATGTCCTCACCTATAAGTCTACACACCACCGGACCTCACCTATTAGTGTACACCATGGGGATTAGATTTTCTCATGAATTTGCAGGGAACAATCCAGGTACAACCATACTGGTTTCAATCTTACTTATTAATCACTGTCATAGACATATACATGAGTTATGAAAACATAACTCCACACAGAAATCTCTACATGAATGTTGACACTGCAGGTAGTTGAGTTAGGCAGAGACTGATAGGAAAGGAGCAGGCCCAAGACAGAGCCACTTCTGAGAGGAGGTGAACCGGGTCTGTAGTGGAGGGCTGAGCTGATAGAACCAGGCCACAAGACCCAGAGAGGATGGCTCGGCCCACAGCTTCTCCACAGGCTCCCAGTTCTATTGTGACTGTACCACCATGTCAGGTAAGCCTGAATAAAATATCAAGTAGATGGATGAACAGAACACCCACACCCGCACTCCTACTCCTCCCAGGAATATGCTTACGCTGACAGATAAACTAAAGTGACTGATGCCTGCAGATGAACGCTTCCTACCTGACTTGTTTTAGGATTAGATCAATATCAGCTAAGCAACTGCCCTTGTAACACAACAGGCTGAATTCAGCTTCACCCAAGGTAGGCTCCAACACTGCCTTGCTGTATAGAAAACCCCTAGATGGGGTGAATGTACTGCATACAAAATGCCTAGAGCCTCAGCTGCAGCCCACTTTCTTGGTCCCTTCTGCTCTCACCAGCTTCCCTCTTTCATAAACTGCTTTCTACCTTCCCTCCTGCACCCTATTCTCCATTCTTTGGTGACATGAACTATGAACTTGACACACTTCACAGGCTGGAATGCACTTTACAACAATACTGCAACTCAGTGTTCATAAAAGCTAAAATTTACAACCAACTAAGAGGCCACAAATTGATGAATAATAAAAAATGGAAGTTTTCCAAATTATTCCTAAAAATTAATCATTATCTAATACATACTACAATGTAAAACCATCTCGGAAATGTCATGCAGAGGTCAGACACAGAAAGAGTGTTGGACTATCCACTTACATAAAATGGCCAGAGAGAAAATGCGTACAGTACACCACAGATGAGCCTTTCCTACAGGTGGGGGAAAGAAAATATTCTACATTGACAAATTTGTTAACCATACAGATTTTTAAGGGAGTGAAGCAAATAGTAAGTAAGGTATATTTTAGTAAAGCTGGCATAAGAGACAATTTCTACTTTATAATTCATGGGCCAAAGTTTAGAGACGTATTTGTAGTGCAACTAATAATAATAAACAAAGGGAGAAAGGCGGGAAAGTGGGAGAGATCTGAGGGAGAGGTAAATCAAGGAAGAAGGGGCATGAGAGCAGTAAGGGAGAGCAACGAGGATGCCGGTAAGGAGAAAGAGTACCAAAGGGAAGGACAGAGAAGAAAGCAAAGAAGGAATAACACTAGGAAATGAAGATTACAACAGAACAGCCGGGGATTGAGCTCAGTGGTTTCGCCGTCTGCTGCACAAGCGCAAGGACCCGAGTTCGATCCCCGGTACCAATGAACGAATGAATGAATAAATAAATAAATAAAACAACGGGGGGGGAGGGAGAGGGGGAGGGGAGGACAGGCGGAAGGAATAAGAGGAAATAAAAAGGAAAAATGGAATATGACAGGAAGGGAGAGTGGGAGGGAGGGGACGGGCGGATGGAAGAAACGCAGAGGCCAATGTGCTCCTATTCCCTGCATCTCGAGCCTCAAACTCTAGGTCAGACTTGGGCGGGAGAAGCCTCCTGCTCTTGTTCTTCTGACCCTCGTCCCTAAGGATGAAGGGGACAGGACGTCTGACCTACCATGCCAGACTGCAGTATCAGTCTCCCTTGAGTCTTTTCTAATTTGAACTGGAAAAAGCTCAATAAGGAAAGGGCACAGAGCTTGGCAAACAGAGTGAGGTAAATCACATCCTTACAGAAGCCGATCTGCTGTCCCTCTGCACAGGAGACCGGGAGACGGCAGAGAAAGTGGACACACAGTGGGGGACAATGAGGACTAAACACCTTCTGAGACCACACGCACAATGCGTAGGCTTTCTGCTCTGCACAGGGCCCTCTCCTGAGGGAAAAGGTGGCAGCAAAAACTCTGAATA